ACATAGGTTTTTTGTTTTATATGTGTTTTTTTTCTCATTATTATTATTTTTAAAGGAACCTAAAAATGAATTATTTTTAGAACTTAAAATTATAAAGTAATCAAGACAAACATTTAACCCAACAATATTAATCATTACAAAAAATGATAAAGTAAGAATAACAAGTTGTGGAGTAGAAATAACACGAATTGGGCTCTCCTAAAGTTAGAGGTAACATGAAATTCTTCAAATGGAGCCTTAGATCCTCAACATATATTTTTTTATAGAACAACTACATGGGAAATAGCTTTTTCAAAATTGTTTTTTCTATTGGAAGTTGTTTTTCGCCGAATAAACGGAGCCTTAGATCTTCAATATATACTATTTGAGAAATACAAATCGTAAAGTATAAAATTTCAACCAATTGATGATAAAATGAAATTCTTCAATCATAGGTTTTTTTTATATGTGTTTTTTTCTTCTTCTTGTTATTATTATTAAAGGAACCTAAAAATGAATTATTTTTAGAACTTAAAATTATAAAGTAATCAAGACAAACATTTAACCCAACAATATAAATCATTACAAAAAATGGTAGAGTAAGAATAACAAGTTTTGGAGTGGAAATAACACGGATTGGGCTCTCCTAAAGTTAGAGGTAACATGAAATTCTTCAAATGGAGCCTTAGATCCTCAACATATATTTTTTTATAAAACAACTTCATCGAAAATAGTTTTTCCAAAATAGTTTTTTCTATTGGAAGTTGTTTTTTTCCAAACAAGTAGAGCCTTAGATCCTCAATATATACTATTTGAGAAATACAAATGGTGAAGTACAAAATTTCAACCAATTGACGATAAAATGAAATTCTTCAAACATAGGTTTTTTTGTTTTATATGTGTTTTTTTTCTTATTGTTATTATTTTTAAAGGAACATAAAAATGAATTATTTTTAGAACTTAAAATTATAAAGTAATCAAGACAAACATTTAACCCAACAATATTAATCATTACAAAAAATGATAGAGTAAGAATAACAAGTTGTGGAGTAGAAATAACACGGATTGGGCTCTCCTCAAGTTAGAGGTAACATGAAATTCTTCAAATGGAACCTTAGACCCTCAACATATATTTTTTTATAAAACAACTTCATGGAAAATAGCTTTTCCAAAATAGTTTTTTCTATTGGAAGTTGTTTTTTTCCAAACAAATGGAGCTTTAGATCCTCAATATATACTATTTGAGAAATACAAATGGTGAAGTACAAAATTTCAACCAATTGATGATAAAATGAAATTCTTCAAACATAGGTTTTTTGTTTTATATGTGTTTTTTTTCTTCTTATTATTATTTTTAAAGGAACATAAAAATGAATTATTTTTAGAACTTAAAATTATAAAGAAATCAAGACAAACATTTAACCCAACAATATTAATCATTACAAAAAATGATAGAGTAAGAATAACAAGTCGTGGAGTAGAAATAACACGGATTGGGCTCTCCTAAAGTTAGAGGTAACATGAAATTCTTCAAATGGTGCCTTAGATCCTCAACATATATTTTTTTTATAAAACAACTTCATGGAAAATAGCTTTTCCAAAATTGTTTTTTCTATTAGAAGTTGTTTTTCGCCAAACAAACGGAGTCTTAGATCCTCAATATATACTATTTGAGAAATAAAAATTGTGAAGTACATTCAACCAATTGACGATAAAATGAAATTCTTCAAACATAGGTTTTTTGTTTTATATGTGTTTTTTTCTTCTTATTATTATTTTTAAAGGAACATAAAAATGAATTATTTTTAGAACTTAAAATTATAAAGTAATCAAGACAAACATTTAACCCAACAATATTAATCATTACAAAAAATGATAGAGTAAGAGTAACAAGCTATGGAGTAGAAATAACACGGATTGGGCTCTCCTAAAGTTAGAGGTAACATGAAATTCTTCAAATGGTGCCTTAGATCATCAACATATATTTTTTTTATAAAACAACTTCATGAAAAATAGCTTTTTCAAAATTGTTTTTTCTATTGGAAGTTGTTTTTCGCCAAACAAACGGAGTCTTAGATCCTCAATATATACTATTTGAGAAATACAAATTGTGAAGTACAAAATTTCAACCAATTGACGATAAAATAAAATTCTTCAAACATAGGTTTTTTTTTTTATATGTGTTTTTTTCTTCTTATTATTATTTTTAAAGGAACATAAAAATGAATTATTTTTAGAATTTAAAATTATAAAGTAATCAAGACAAATATTTAATCCAACAATATTAATCATTACAAAAAATGGTAGAGTAAGAATAAGAAGTTGTGGAGTAGAAATAACACGGATTGGGCTCTCCTCAAGTTAGAGGTAACATGATCTATCATTTGTTAGGTAAATCCGAACCATTGATTTTGAAATCAGTGGTTTGGATTTTTTTTATAAAAAAATAATTATCAATTATAAAAGGATTCCAACCAATCATAAATTCGGTAAAATAAAATTCAAACCGTTGATTCAAAACCACCTGTCTAGATTTACCAAACACGATAAATCAAGTTATTCCTAACTTAAAGAGAGTCAAATTGACAAATTCATAAAAGATTTTAATCCAGTACAACAAACAAATCATTTAATACATTTAATATCAAAATAAAATACAACACAACACACAACATCAATCGCAACAAGTCCTTTGGCGATCAGCCATAAGGCTGGATAGTGGTGTACCTCACCTAAAATATTCTCCGGGTCGGAGCCACCGAAACCAACCAGCGGACAAAAGGAAAATCTGTCCACCATCACGGTTATAAACTGATGGACCACGCTCCTCTTATCCAACATTCTAGCCGACCGTCCGATCAAAATCTAATGGTAAGGATTCCACCCTACCAAAAGTCTATCTTAAATCCTACCTTTCAAAGGATCAACGGCACCTTGACTATGAGCCGTCAAAAAACAAGTCGCCGTCTCTGCCTTAACACGCGCACGTCAGCACTCTCCCCATCCCACGTGCGTGCATGCAGGAAACTACCACCAAAAAGCTTAACCATAACGTTCGTGTTGGTTACATGCAAGAAAAAAAGCCAAACCATCATAAATTTCCTTTCACTCCGGTCAACAGCTATTTAAACTTCGTAGTATAATTAAGAGTTGACCGTTATAATTGACGATTATAATAAAAAATGATAACCTCACCCCTTCCATCATCATCTTTTCGATTGCCATTTTTTCAGCGTGTTAACAGCTTGACAGTCTAAATATCTTCACACTAACTCACAATATTTGTTAAATAAACCTTAGTTCAATGTTTTTATTATTAAAACTAACTAATATCACCTAAATCAGTTTGTACGTTAATTTAAATGTTTTGATAATGATTTTTAAATCTCACTCCTCATGTGTGAATTAAAAAATTAATATTTTTTTAATACACCAACTCAATATTTGAATTAAAGAATAATAAAAAAGAGTATATTTCATTAATCATAAGATCAATTTTTTAGATTTAAAATATCTCTATATAATATTCAAGATAATTGACTTGAGTGGAATGAATTTTAATAATTTAAACAAGTGATTTCGATTTTGAATTTTTATATATGTAGAAACTTGTTAGATAGCTATTTTTATCTTATGTGTCCAATCGAATAATAATAGATTAATATGAATATTTGAGTCTAGAATACTCTAAAATAAATAAAAAAAATACATCTTCATGTAATAATTATGGTTTGTATTCACATAAAAAATGATTTTGAAATATGTGGAGTCGGCCAAAATTTAAAATATTTGTTAGATCTAGTGTAGCTCTTGCAACAATTATTTGCGAAAGTATATTCTAGTTAAATGCATGGGTTTTTTCCCCCAAATAAATGGAAATTTTCACTTGCCAGAAGTAAAACAGCCATTACAGGTAAAATTATACTAACGTTAAATGGAAGAGAGAAATTAGGAGCCAAAAGACGAAACCCAGAAGTATGTTTGCCTGACTTTCCTTAAACTACTACTTTCTACGGAAGAAACTAACCAAACCACTATGTTAAATTGCTGCTAACCTATACCGGAAAGCAAGATACCCAAGTTGCTATCTTACGCTGAACAACTCCACGCAACTTTGGTGCACCAACCAAACACAGGGAACAAGGAAGAGAGAAGTTATTTCTTGGATAAACTACAATCTAATCCCTATAGATTCAGTAATGATCACTTTAACTCTTATACTATTGATTTTTTTTATTATAAAGATGTTAACAAGTCTTGGACAGTACAGAAATCCAAACTCCAAATAAAAAAATAAAACTCTAATATGCATTACGTTATCTTTAAAGTCTTTATTTATTTACTGTGTATATAAGATTGTTGCTCTTTGACATACAATTTTTTTTATTTCTATTCAATCATTTGTTAAGAAAAAAGATTAATAGAGAAAAAAAAAGATTTTTTTTTGTACAGGCATATTTTAAAAGTTTCAATCGAACGAAACTCTTAATGTTTAATAATAAATTTAATTTAAAAAAAACTTCGATCTTTTAATTTTTTGTCTTTTATCTCATTTTTTACTTTTGAAATTCTATATATATCATTATATGAAAAATCTTAAAAACTAAAAAATAATAAAAAAAAGGTAAAATCTAGTTAGCCTTGTTAATTAATTTATGATAAATCATCGATGGTTATGTTAAATCTCATTCAGAATGTGATTAATATTGAAAACATTCAAATTAAAGATCTAAAATAGAACATTATTGAATTTTGAGGATTAAAATAAAGTTTATGCTCTAAACTTTATTACTACTTAGTTTCCATAAACGAGAAAAATGATTGTCTTTTTTCCTTTATAGAATAAAATAAAATAAAATAAAGAAAAAAGACTGCTTATATATATATCATCAGAATAATAATAATTCAGCACTGGAAGTCTCTCTCTGAATTAGCCCAAACAAAGCGAGAGAAAGAGAGAGAAACAAACACAAATACAAAATCAAACCCAAAAAAAAAAAAAAATAAAGAAGAAAGAAATCATGGTTTCAACAAGAAGAAGTGGATCTCTTTCTGCTAGCAATAACAAGAGATCTTCTTCATCAGAGGATAATAATAAGCCAACATCACCAAAACGTCAAAAGGTAAAAAAAAATAAAAATAAAAAAGAAAATCGCAACGTAATTTCTTGGTGTCGTTTTGGATAAAGTTCTTGATTTGTTTTTGTGGATTTCAGGGAGAGAATGGTGGGGTTACGGAGAAACCGATGCCGACGACGGAGAATTCTAAGGAATCGAGTCCACCGGAGGAGGAGGATCCGGACGACGGTGGACCTGGAGATGCTCCGACTACTGGTGGTGGTGGTAAAGGGGCTTTGATTTCGGGGAAAGGTCAAGAAACGGCGTCGCCGGCTGTGGCTGTTGTCACACCGATCGCTGAAGGTTGGTTTCTTTAATATTTTTTCTTTAAAAGTGTGAAACTTTGAACTAAATTTTGGATTTTATAAATGTGTGAAAATTGAATTTTAAGTGTTGTTTGGTTGATTTGTTTTTTTCTTTTGGATTTGATTAAAAGGTTCTACTCCGGTTGTGCTGGATAAGCCAAGAAGTTCATTTTCGACTTGGAGTTCATATCAGAAGCAAAATTCGGGCTTCGAAACGCCTTGGTGTAAGCTGCTCTCACAGTCTGCACAGGTAGTTCGTTTTTTTTTTTTTTAAATGTTGAAATTGAGAATTTATGTGCAGAAAGGAGTGATTTTGAGGTTTGACTTAAAATGTTGGCCGTGTTTGGATTGCAGAATCAGAATATAGTAATTTGCACGTCGAGTTATTCGATTGGTTCAACCAGGCAATGCGATTTTCTGTTGAAGGATCATGCCATTGGCACGATTCAATGCAAGATTAAACACACACAGGTATTGGTTATATGTTAAGGTGTTTTGTAGGATGTTTTGGCAAATGCAGCGTCAATGTTTGTTATCTGGAGGGTTGTGAATTGATAAATTAAAGTAGAGTTTTGTTTATTTAATAGTTCTTGTGGAGGTGAACTCCTGAATATGTATATGCAGTTTGAGTACTCATTGTTTGTGGACATGATCAGCGCGAGGGAGGTGCTGTTGCTGTGCTAGAAACCTCGGGGAGCAAGGGATCGGTGCAAGTAAATGGGACACCTGTCAAAAGGGGTGCTATCTGTGTGCTTATTTCAGGAGATGAGGTGGCCTTTGGTGGGCTGGGGAACCATGCATTTGTATCCTTCACTTCAATTTAGTGGTTCAATCTTTCTTGCTTATGGATTATTTTAGCCCACTTCCCTTCCTTCCCATTTCATTCTTTATTTGCAACTGTGCAGAAAATAGATTTTGTTGTTGCATTGTCACATGGTAATTTCCTTAATATCTGTCGAAATAGATTTTTCAGCAACTCTTGACTGAGGTTGCAGTTAAGAGCGCTGAGGTTCATAACAGTCTGGGAAAATATTTGCAACTCGAAAGGAGGTCAGGAGATCCATCGGCTGTTGCGGGGGCATCAATATTGGCATCTCTTTCAAGCCTGAGACCAGATTTATCGCGCTGGAAGTCTCCAGGACAGACCATCAGTAAAATACACCATGGTACTGACGTGCCTGCTCAGTCTGTTGTTAATGATGGTTCCGAGGTTGAGCTTGATGGCATGGAAGGCAATTCAACTCCAAATTTAGGGAGTGATAAAGCTGCAGAAGTTGGAGCTATCGAGCAGAATCTTCCTCACGATTGCAGCCAGGACTCTGGCACAGAGGCAGGCAATGTAAAAATCTCTGGGATGAATGATTTGATAAGGCCTTTCTTCAGGATGTTAGCTCGATCATCTAATTGTAAACAAAAATTGAGCAAAAATATCTGTAAACAGGTATTGGAAGAAAGGAACGAGTGGACGAAGGATTCGCAGCTGGCATCGACCTCAGTAATGTCATTGAGATGTGCAGTATTCAACGAAGAACTTCATGCTGGAATTCTTGATGGCAAAAACATAGAAGTTTCGTTCGATAATTTCCCATACTATTTAAGGTATGATTTTCTTCTTGCCATCTTTAGTGTTCATTTCATGTTATTTTGGGAGTATTCCAGCTGGCAAATGATTTTTTTTTTAATTTTTATTTTCTCAGATTCTCATTTTGATTTTATGTAAAAAATTGTGTTGTCATACTTTCTCCTGGCATAGCTCAAACATGTGAATAGGGTTGTTGTTGCTAGCTGTCAGAGAGAAGTGATTGCCGTAGCTGGCTGTTTTATGTGGATTTGAACTGTCTATGTTCCAATGTGGATCAGATTTGAATGTTGAATACTGGAATAAGCTGCAGTTTCAGCTTTGTGCTGCATTTGTTTCAGGAATGACTTTTAATGCTCATATGCTATTGGCCTTTATTGATCATTATCAACACTTTTGCATTAGTCTACTGATGGAGTATTCCTTATCCATGTCCCTCTATATGTTAATTAAATTTCATACCACCAGATTCAACGATTTTGATTATGGGTGAAAAAGCCAATTTCCTTGTTATAAGATGGTTAGAAACCCAAGGTCTTACAGGTACATTGCGGAGAAAATGATGAATCTATCCATGGAGCTGGGTAGTTTGGGTGGATAGAGCATATAGGAAGTCATTATATGTTAAGACTAGGACTTGAGATCTGGAATATCTCATAAGGGAAGGGATGGTAGTGAAGGGAAGGAGAAGAACAAAGTAAATATGAATGGACCCATGGACATTTTATGATTGGGATGTCTGGAGCCGAGAGAAGCTGATGAGCATGACGTGAAACGTGGATGTTCTTTCTTTTTGAATTGGTACCCTACTTATGAACTTGATAAACCTGATGATATAAAGTAACTAATGAAGGAAAGTAATGAAATAGAAAAAAAGATCCCATTTCTGTATCAAGCTTGAATATGCTTCCATGTAAACTTGGTTATTGGGTTTGGAAAAGTCAAAAGTGTGGACATGTATCTTGTTCAGACACAGATACTGAAGATACTGCGCAAAAACAATCTTAGAGGAAGGGCCAAACAAAAAGGATGGTCTGACCAGACATGTAAAACCAATTTGGTGGCAATATGTGGCAGCTTTGGAGGTGAATTTCACTCCTCTTATGCCATAAGGTGGGATTCCATTGTGACATGGAACCTTTTTTGACTTGCCATGCGTAATCTGTTTTTTAGGGCAATATTATGCAGCAAGTTATTGCATTCATTACACAATGTCCCTGCCTGTGGACATGGGTAATGTGAAATGGATGGTTTAAATTGCATAAAGCAAAAGTTCCGCACTTTTTTTGTTATCCAGAGCTGAACGTGGTGTATAATCTTTATGGTGTGTTGACTGATGTGGCTGTATTTATCCTAAATTTCAGTGTTATGCAAATTGTGTTGTTATGCGTTGTATAAAAAATAAACTATGCTTTACATGTGTGCGTATGACTCTGATTCAATGGTGATCTTACCATCCAGACATGTAATTTTGGTTAAATGTTTTTTTTTTCAACCATAGATATTTGGTGCCACCAATAAATTTGGATTAATAATCAAGTGGGAAGACAGATGGTTCATTTGACACAATCCTTTAACCATGAATTATAGATGGCATGATTGTTTATTTATTTGCATGTTGATGATTTTGTATTTGTTATCTTCCTTTTGCAGTGAGAATACAAAAAATGTGCTGATTGCAGCTTCATTTATACACTTGAAGCACAAAAAACATGCAAAATATACCTCAGAACTAACTACAGTCAATCCGCGGATTTTGCTTTCTGGTCCTGCAGGTGTGTGGCTATTTTACTTCCATTGTTATGTTTTAAAACTTTTGTGAGAGATGATGCAAACTTAATTTTTCTTTCCCTTTTGAATGCTATTTTTGTAGGTTCTGAGATATATCAAGAGATGTTGGCAAAGGCACTTGCCAATTACTTTGGTGCTAAATTGCTCGTATTTGATAGTCATTCATTTTTGGGTGTAAGCTAAAACTCATCTGCTTGACTATTATAGCTCTCCATCTGTAGTTTGTGAAGACTAATCAGTGATTGAATCTTCAATTGTGAATATGTAGGGTTTGTCTTCCAAGGAAGCTGAGCTTCTGAAGGATGGATTTAATGCAGAAAAATCCTGCACTTGTGCTAAACAAAGTACTGTGGCAACAGATGCATCGAAGAGTTTGAGTTTATCAGCTGGTGAAACAAACACACCTAGCTCTTCAAATGCACCTACTAATCTGGAATCTCAAACAAAGGTGGAAGACACCCTGCCTTCTTCTTCAGGTCCAGGGGCATCAAGGAATCTCTTATTTAAAATAGGTATTTAAGCTATTACAAAAGAGGGCTGCTATTTGGTCTTCCACTTTTCTCTCACATTCAAGATCTTTTGATTTTTCTTGAAATTGTATATAGCAAGATGCTCGAAATATTAACATGTAGGTGACATAGTGAAATTTACAAGCTTTAATTTTTAAACAAGTTTTTCAATTAAATTGTAGCTTTATTTTTTATACGACCTTGTGGAAAAAATATTAAGGTTTTTATAAAAATTTTGGATTTAATTTTCTATTTAGATTGTCACAGGTTTTTATTTAAGCATCAATGCATACAAAAGAAAAAATCATGCTTTTTTCAGTTAAAAATTTATGGAAACCATAATGAAGAATCAATTAAATACAAGATTCTAATTAAAAGTTATTCATTATTATTTTCTTTATTTTGTTTTTAATTTTTTTACCTTTGATTCAATATATTTTAGTAGATCTGCAACATAGCACAGGGTATCAAATTGAAATTATTTTGTTTTGCCCGTCCCCAGCGTAGCGTTGACAACAAACTCGTTTAAGCTATTACAAGAGGGCTGCTATTGGTCTTCAACTTTTCTCTCACATTCTAGATCTTTTGATTTTTCTTGAAATCTGATATAGCAAGATGCTCCGAATGTTACATGCAGGTGACAGAGTGAAATTTATAAGCTCATCTTCTAGTGGCTTATATCAAACAGCATCACCATCAAGGTACAATCAGTGTGAACAGTTCCTTCACCTTTTTCTTCTCCATTTTTTACTTTGATCAATTGTTCTGTAGTCTCTTGAATGTGAACTGTCTTGATGTTCAAACAGGTTCGGTACTTCTATTGATCAATTTATAATGCTTCCCAAAGCGTTTATTTCTCTTATAGCAAATTTGCAATCGCTGTTCCTTACTGAAATAACCATCTTCTTATCATTCAAGTGCTTTTGAAATGAACATATTTGGTTGGATGATAGAAAATTTAGATAAAAAAGTAGAGGGGTGGATAAACTTTTTGTTATTTGTGGTGCCATATGTATCTTCGTGTTTGGCGGAGATTTTTTATTATGCACTTGGGGTGGTTAGGCATGGAGAGAAATTCTTCAGTTTTCAAGAATGGTTCATATTTAGGCTGTCAGTATGGCATATAATAATTTCATTGGTGTTTTGGTAGTGGGACTTTCAGAAGATCTTTTCTTAGGTGATATGCTTCAGGGTTGGACTCCTCTTTGTTTTAACGCTCTCCATTTTGCAGTAGGCGTTGTTCTCTTTTTTTTTTTTTTTTGGTGTGTGTGTGTGTGTGTGTGTGATGTCTTCCATTTTGCAGTCGGTGTCATTGCTTTTCTTGTGGTTTGTGTTCTCTCTTGAAATTTTAGTCTTCCTCGGAAGAAAGATAATTTACCTTTGCCTAACTAAACAAACAACAAACCCCACATAATTGTTGGATAATTGGAGCAGCCTTGGTTGCTGGTTTAATTAGGAGCTGTATTTGAGATAAAATGGACATATAAACAAGCATCGAGGGTGGTTCTCTTCAATTGTTTGAAGTTTATTATCCCACTTAACAAGTGACTCTTACTTCATGGATGGCCAAAACATATGCATTGTCAAAATTGATAAGAAAATCGATCTTGAATTGAATTTACTTTTGATTGAGACTAGAGATGATACTGGATTTGATTGCAACATTAATGTAAATCATAAGTGACTAGGAGTTGAAGTGTTAGGAAATAATGGATTGTAGATTTGAAAGAACATACATTAGTACATATTTTTGAGAGAGGTTTAATACTTTTTTTGGAGTTGTAGCATGACAAGGCTTGGATTGGTTGTAAATATTAACGATCAAGAATGGCTATAGCAAAGCTGTAATAAATACAAAGCTAATGTAAATGCAAACATGGTTAAGTGGATCCAGTTTAATATAATTGGAGCTTTACTGTATCCAGTGTTTCCGATCAGCATTGGCATATAGAAGAACTGGCATGTAGAAAAAAAAAAAAAGGAAAAGGGAGAAACATGATTATGTTTTATGAGGGAGAAAGGCAAAAGGAAAGGCGTAACCTAATTAACACCTTGGCAGCTTAACCCTCTCTCCCCTTTGATTGTATTTGTTTTCCTCAGACAAGCAACCCATCATATTCTTTTATAGTTATTTGCTTTCCAATTCATTGTTTTCCTCTGCCATCCTTATATTCTCAACTTTGTTATTGATGCAGCACAATGTTTAACGTTTGGTCTCCTGTTAACTCTTGATTTAGGGGCCCACCTTATGGGATTCGTGGAAAAGTTGCATTACTTTTTCAGGACAATCCTTTGTCAAAAATTGGTGTGAGGTTTGACAAACCAATACCTGATGGTGTTGATCTTGGAGGTGTTTGTGAGGGAGGTCATGGATATTTCTGCAATGGTATGTTGAACTGGGTAATAAACATTGTCATGTGCATAGACTTGACAAATGGTTCTATCTTTTCTTGCTTTTTTAACTCCAAGTTATTAAAGTGTCTTTTACTCTCTCCAGTTACTGATCTTCGTTTGGAGAATACGGCTGTGGAAGACTTGGATAAGTTACTCGTTAACACATTGTTTGAGGTAGCAATAATTTTGGTATTAAGTAATTGAACTCATTTGGTTTTGGCATGTTATACCCCATTTAATTGTCTTATAAACCTTATTGAATCCTTCTTCAGGCTGTACACAGCGAGAGCAGAAATTCTCCTTTCATTTTGTTTATGAAAGATGCAGAGAAATCTATTGTAGGCAATTCAGATTCATATTCTACATTCAAAAGCAGACTTGAAAAGCTTCCTGATAATGTAATAGTAATTGGTTCACATACGCAAAATGACAATCGGAAAGAAAAGGTAATGTTAATTCAATTATTTATTTACTTGTTTTATTTTTTGCATGCATGAAATTTCATCTATTTAAAGACTAAAGGTGCTGAGTCTAAATTCCTTTCTGAATTACTGGTTTGTTGTTGGTTGAAGTGCAAAGGTGAAGTTGAGGCATCTCAGTCCTCTGTTTCCTTACTTTTTAAATAAAGTCAATGAGCATGAGATTGCTATAGAATTTAGAAAGTTTATACCACATTATTTGTTTATATGCATGTATGTTTTGTATTTTTGCATTATGTATAAGTTGAGGGCTTCTTTCTGATGTCATAGCTTTTATGGTTCGAGCAATGTTACCTGGAAAGTGGTATGTTATTGTCTACGGTTTGCTACCCTTCCCCCTCCTCACGATACAAGGGGGTAGGCCTCCCCCTCCCTCATGGTATAAGGGGGTAGGCTTAGTAGGGTCTCTATTTTGGGTTATGGTTCGTTTCTATGCAGTCTTCCATAGTAGTGTTTATTAATATTCTTTTAATTATTAGCCATTAGATTGCTTTATTAAGATAATCATGCCATGTGTTACTTCCTAATTCAAATAAAAGATAGAGGTATTTTATGGGTGCATGTAGACTACAACTTCCGAACAAAATATTCTCCACCCTTGGCTAAAACACTTTCACTGCTATATTTAAACACAAATACTTGTAAATCTTTTGTAAAGTCTAAACAAAAAGGGGGTTGCCAGTTTTCACAATCGGGATCGCAAACTCACCAGGATCGAGATCACGTGATCCAGATTGAAATTTCTAGGGGGACTAGGTTTTACAGTAATTTAGATTAAAGCAAATTTCATAGTGTGATTGTATAAATTTTGGTTCACTTATTCATTTTAGAAGTCATGGATTCAAAAGGGAATGATAGGGCTTTGCTGGGTGCCTTGTGTTAACTAAAATTGAGTCTTGATACAAAATTTTTTGGGTGATGAAAGTGCCTGTCATCACTAACAATGATGAGCCAATACTGGTCAGTGAAGATTCATATGCTTGGCAAGTACACTGAGGGCATTATGCATCACTAAAATATTTTGAAAATTGTTTTATATAGTCAACTCTTCTAAGCCTTAGACCATTTTAGCTCATGAATCCCTATGCAAACCATTTTTCCAATTTTAGGTGCTAATGAGGTAACGTGTGTAAATTCTATGAGCTAAGCTACATATCATCACAAGTGAAGGAAGTGACGTGCTGCATGTGTCAAAGATTTGCATGCCTAGGTCCTAGGAGCTATAGTTATCAGTCTAATCCTTAGTCAACTCTTCTAAGCCTTAGACCATTTTAGCTCATGAATCCCTTTGCAAACCGTTTTTCCAATTTTAGGTGCTAATGAGGTGACGTGTGTAAATTCTATGAGCTAAGCTACATATCATCACAAGTGAAGGGAGTGACGTGCTGCATGTGTCAAAGATTTGCATGCCTAGGTCCTAGGAGCTATAGTTATCAGTCTAATCCTTAGTCAGGACCCCTTCAATTTTTTCTTTTTTAAAAAGCAAATAATTGGTAGTTCACTAAATGTTTAGTCAATCTTATGATGGGAGTCTTGGATTATAGGGGAGCCTTGTAAAATTTGAGCCTATATGTTGAACGGCAAAGAATTTGCTTTCAACCTTGCATTGTATCGTGTATGGTCTTGGTATACAAATCATGTCATTTACTTACACTACAGTGTTTTCTTCCGTTGCAGTCACATCCTGGTGGTCTTCTTTTCACAAAATTTGGCAGCAATCAGACTGCTCTTCTTGACTTGGCTTTTCCGGTGAAACTCTCTCTTCCTCTCTACCCCTCTTTTTTTTAAGTCTCAACAGATATTCTTTTTCTGTCTCAATGTTTTCATTCTTTTATCGTATTCACACTATGGGTGGTTCTTTTATTTAAAAGGGAAAAGGGAAATTTTCATCTTCTAAGCATATTAAATTAGTAATGCCTTTTGAAAGTTATATTGATGCTTTTCTATGCTTCTGAATTAACAAAAATAATAGGTGCTTGCAGGTTTCGTTATTTTTTTTTTTTTCCTTGATGATTGGCTTTATCATAAATTCATTTTTATTGACTTTGGTGTATTTTGTTCAAAATAGCAGTCTTGAGCATCATCAACATTTTCCATTTCTGTTCTTTCCAAAAAAGTAAAATATAAAATTCATGTCTTCTGTTACTACATGGTGTTTTAAGAATAGTTCCATTGACTTAGTCCATCACAGGTTACAGTAATATAGTGCTTCTCCACCATTTTTTTAATATGAAAATCCTGTAAGTAAAAAAATAAATGCAAATGGACTAACGTATGCTTCATCAGCCTTCCTGAGACATTTTTAAACTGGGTACATTGCGTCAGTTTTGAGGCCATTTTGGTTTAGTACTGGTTTCCAGATGTCTTGTGGAAAGGGATTGAAAAATTTGAATGTTTTTTTTGGGAAGGAATATAAAACGTCCTGTTTGAAGTTCTCTCTTTTCCTCCCCTGTCTCTCTCTATCTCTCACACAGGCAAGCATATATGTGGCCAATTGATAATAAATGTTATATTATGGCTGATCTATATTGTTGATTTTCTGATCATTGATTTTGGCACCTTTTGAAATTTTCAGGATAGTTTTGGAAGACTTGGTGACAGGGGGAAGGAAGTGCCAAAGGCAACAAAACTTCTGACTAAGCTCTTTCCAAACAAAGTAGCTATTCATATGCCACAGGTCTGGGTCATGGATGACAAATTTTCATTTTTTCTTCTTTGATTAGAACAAAATTTTGTGTGCAGTGTATTAAGGGAGCTTATTAATTGATGCAGGACGAAGCTCTTCTAGCATCTTGGAAGCATCAGTTGGATCGAGATTCTGAAACTCTTAAAATGAAGGGCAATCTAAATAACCTGCGCACTGTGAGATATCCATCCCTATGCTATAGTTTGCAGCTTTGTTTTATTTATTAATCAACTTTTTAGCTTTGGTTTTCAGTGGCTGTTTTTTACTTGAGCGTGCTTCATTTGACAAGATTACATTGGGTGTTTTTATATAACAGACTAGTCAGTGATTCATGCATGTGATAGTGATATCAATCTGTGTTATTGTATAATTCACTGTTGCAACAGTTGCTTGCTTGAAACCCTGTGGTGCATCAGTCCCGAAAATAAGCATCATTCTTCAATAAATATATCAATCCCAGTCTTCTGGGGAAAAAAATTAGAGCGATAGTCTTGACGTGCTTTCCATGTTAATTTTAAGTTCAAACAGTTGAACAATGAGTTTGTGAAAAGTGTCTTCAGCTGTTCACTGTCTTCTAATTTTCAAGCTCATATGTCAGAACACCACATCGTAGCTTTGGCTGTGAAATATGTTTGGGAGGGTGGAAACTGGGAGGAAAGGAATTATGGGACAGGAAATAAGGATTGAAGTTACTTTACGTTCTTTGTGAGAAGAAGAGAAGATGAAGGTGAAGGAAAGTTAACCTATAGCCACCAAAAACCAAACTCTTGAAACTGGGAGGATGCGTAAGGGAAATTGAGTAGTTTTACTCATTGTCCCTCAGTAAATTTCATTTAACCCAAAAACAAGGATAACAGTTTTATATTTCTCTTCACTTCCATTTCCTTCAAGTTTCGTCCCTCCCAACATAACTTTTCTCTTCACAACTCCCACTTCAATCCCTGTCTTGAGAAGCTGGTGTGATGAATTGCCTGTCCTTTGAGAGATGCCTATGTGGAATGAAGGCAAATTATTGACGCCATGGTAGCAGTCTATAAGGCTGTGGATATTCGTATAAGTGAGTGGTGGTTTTGTGATAAGGTTGATATGGAGAATTCTTAGGGGAAAGGGGTTCGATATTTGGAGGAAATGGATTATGAGTTTTATTGTATACTAAAAGGTTGCTGTCAGGTTTCTTCTCAGCCTCTGGAGGTCTCACCAATAATATCCTATTGGTGACTACATTGCAGACTCACTTGGCAGAACATTTTTCTAGGAAAATTAGTTGACAGTTTTATGTTTTGCTTGTTTCACTTGATTTCAGTAATAATTTCTCTACTCTCTTCTAGTCTATTTTCTCCCTCTGTTGCATCTCTCTCTGAAAGGCAGAATGGAGTATTTCTCTAAGAAAGTTTGTAACACATCCACTGCATGGCATGAAGTCCTCTAGTTTGTGTTGCAAAAAGTTGTGATTTCTATGTTTGTATGGGAAGTTTCTGCTTTCTCATGTATTGAGAAGGGAGGACATGGGGTCGCCTTTTTGCATTTTGATAAATTTTAACTCATGTATGCTCTCTTGCGCCCTTTCTTTGTTATGCTCTATTTTTGTTGTCTCGAAAGATATGTTTGAAGAACGGGAAACTAGTGCATTTAATCTGGATGTGGATTAAACAGTACTTGTTTGATGAAATTAAACAGTATTTTTTGTTTCACAACCATCTGATTTCTTTGCATACAAATCACTAAGGTGGATGTTGTAAATAGCTGTGCATGGTTCAAAAGTAGGGCATTTGGAGATGGAATCTTTCTTATTGTAGGCCATTTCATCTATAGGTTTTGGGTCGGTGTGGGATGGAATGTGAAGGACTTGAGACACTATGCATCAAGGATCAAACGCTCACAAATGAAGGTATGTTTTATATTACCACATTGCAATGCTAACGGTTTCCAATGAGCTTTCCCAAAACTCATGTTTGTGTGTGCATTGCAGGTGCAGAGAAGGTAGTCGGGTGGGCACTGAGCCATCATCTAATGCAGAATTCTGAAGCTAATGCTAATTCTGATGCAAAGCTTGTTTTGTCTAGTGAGAGGTATTTGATAGCTTTTCTTGTATCATTTTCTTGACTCCAGTATTGGTTACTGTGTTGATTACATTTTTGTAATGCCATTTTGCAATTCTGGCAGCATCCAGTATGGGATTGGAATCTTGCATGCTATCCAGAACGAATCTAAAAGCTTGAAGAAGTCTCTGAAGGTAATTCTGTAGATTCACTTGCAGATACTACACCTAACAAGTTTATTGACTTGCACAAATTTTTTTGAAGCATGGGGTGATAAAGATTTGACCTAATTTCCTATTTGGGAAGGTTTCATGTGCTGATCTCCATAATATTTTTTTTGGCTAAAATCAGGATGTCGTGACAGAAAATGAATTTGAGAAAAGGCTTTTAGCTGATGTTATTCCGCCTAATGACATTGGAGTTACATTTGATGATATTGGAGCTCTTGAGAATGTCAAGGACACCTTGAAAGAGTTGGTGATGCTTCCTTTACAAAGGCCAGAACTTTTCTGCAAGGGACAATTAACCAAGGTCTCTGCATCTCTCTAATATTCAGTGAAACAAGCTATTTCATTTAAAGGAACTTTGAATTTTGTTTTTATGGAATCGGATTAGGCTGTGAAAGAGATATACTCACGGTGATCTCTTGGTGCAGCCTTGCAAGGGCATACTTTTATTTGGACCTCCTGGAACTGGAAAGACTATGCTAGCAAAGGCAGTGGCAACTGAAGCTGGTGCTAATTTCATCAACATATCAATGTCCAGCATCACATCCAAGGTTAAGATTATAGCATCCCTTGTTCAATTTCTATATTGATTTTATTTTCTGATCTAAAACTCATTTAATCTCACATATTACAGTGGTTTGGTGAGGGTGAGAAGTACGTCAAAGCTGTATTCTCGCTAGCCAGTAAAATTGCCCCCAGCGTCGTCTTTGTTGACGAGGCAAGCTTCTTATATCTCTTTCAGCATTTTGCATGTTTTGCTTTTTTTTAATTATCTTTTGGGTATCAACTCAAATATCTTTCCGTGGTTTGGCTGTGTTGTATAGGTTGACAGCATGTTGGGCAGGAGGGAAAATCCAGGGGAGCATGAGGCCATGCGTAAGATGAAAAATGAATTTATGGTGAATTGGGATGGTCTACGAACGAAAGATACAGAACGAGTTCTTGTACTTGCAGCTACTAATAGGCCTTTTGACCTAGATGAGGCTGTCATTAGAAGGCTGCCACGAAGGTATTGTTTTATTTCATAACAGGCCCTGTACTCGTTCAGATTTATAGCGTACTTATATCTTGTGTGCCTGAGTCCATTTTGAGTATGGTAATTTTTGTACCTACAAACCTGTGCTGAATAATTCACATTTCATTTTCATGTACTTCTGCAGATTGATGGTAAATCTGCCCGATGCTCCAAATAGAGCAAAGATACTCAGAGTCATTTTAGCAAAAGAAGATTTGTCTCCTGATGTTGATTTTGATGCAATTGCTAGCATGACTGATGGATATTCTGGAAGTGACCTCAAGGTTCTGTCTCTTGCTTTTTCCCTTGATAAGTAGATATGTGAACTGATTTTTATCAAACTTGGTGATTGTCTTACATCTGCACATGTTATATGACAGAACCTATGTGTAGCTGCTGCTCACCGACCAATTAAAGAGATATTGGAAAAGGAAAAAAAGGTTTGTCTGTCTTCTTTTTTCTTCATCATCATTTACATTTTTGATCAGCCTGGAACTGTCGTTGGAATGTCCTTTTCTCCTGTTCCATGCACGCTCTTTTAAGTCGCTGCAGTGTTCTGTGTTCTTATAAAAGAGAAAAAAGAAAAAAAAATGGCGTTGCATGAATTTATATAACCACATTTTCTCATAATAGGCCCATAAATACCTCAAATTAAGTATCAATGAGAATATGATCTGTTGTTGGTTTAGGTTCAATGAAAATCTTCTTTGGTGGTTCCAAGTATTATTGGGTTTTGCTGCTACTTGCCACTTGCCAGATGTCTGCCTCTTTTTTTTTTTTTTTTTTTAATGGGATGAATTAGATTATTCTAGTATTACTTCTAATATGGTTGAGCGTGTACAATTGATTACAGGAACGGGCTGCAGCTGTAGCAGAAGGTAAACCTGCCCCAGCTTTAAGTGGGAGTTCTGATATCCGGCCCCTAAACATGGTCGACTTTAAAGATGCTCATGAACGGGTAAAATGATGATAAAATTTTATGAACTTATTTAGTTTTCTGCTCAATTGTGTTATGATATTTCTCCTGTATTTAAACAGGTATGTGCGAGTGTTTCATCCGAATCAGTAAACATGACCGAGCTCCTGCAATGGAATGAGCTGTATGGCGAAGGCGGTTCTAGAAGAAAGAAGGCGCTTAGCTATTTTATGTAAATTTTCCTTTGTACAAAAGCTTCTTAGTTTCTTTTAAATGGTCTTCTCCAAAAGTCGGTTCCTAAGTAATTTTGCCGCTCTCAATTAGGGCTTGTTGAGTAGTCATTTTGTCTGTAAGGAATATAGGTTTTTCCAAATTATGTTTTTGTATCTCAAACTTTGGGGATGGTTGCTATAAAGGGCGTGAAGCTTTTGTTTTGTTGCCTGTCCCCCTTGTATTGCAGTTAACACTTATTGTTGGTTTTAAGTTATTAGCATCTGAAATAGAGAGAAGAGTAGAAAAATTGAAGACCCTGTTAGATAAATTGTATCTTTGATTGTAGTGAATTCTTTATGTTGTCTTTGTTTGAACGTTCCTCAAAACTCCCTCCCACTTTCCAAATGTACCAGAAAATTATTACATGGATTAGTAACGACATTGACACACTTGCCTTGCACGTTATTGTTTAAATTGAATGCATCTCAAATTTGGATTTGACTGTTTGAATCATGGGAACGAATTACCCTAAGAATCCTAAGAAACTACCAAAAAAAACTCACAATGTCGTTCGCATCCATGGTTAGGTGAATTGCCCTACCAATTTATACCAAAGTTGATGTGAAATTAGTTTATTACCAAAACATAGAAGGAATGGGCAGATGCAGATAGCAGCAAGAACATAGTAGTCAAAGCAAAAGGTTAATTGGATTCTCTATTAGTTGCATTGCTTCTTTATTTTGTTGTAGGCTGATGAATGGTTTCGGTAGCCATAGCAAAAGCAAAAGGTATTTATCTGCTTTACATTGAGGTGGTATCTTACAGAGCAACTCTAAAGCAAAACTAAAACATTGCATTGGTAATCATGATCATTAAAATTGAATTGAATGAGAGCTTAACATACCGCAGCATCCACAAGAACACCATCAAAGCTGGAAATATTGTCAGCATCCACAAGAAGACCATCAAAGATGGAAAGTGATTCTTGTTTTCCCACAGCCTGCACACCTGGGCCTTAATGTAGCTTGTTTCTGATAAGGAATCAAAAACAAAAAGCAAAATAATCTTAGTTTGTGACTGATTTATCCAAATTAGCAGTGTAGGAACTGTTTTGTATTCTAGTATCAATGCTTAGGGCTCAGTGATATTTTGAATAAGGCAAAATAGCTTAGAAGACAAAAATAAGATTGTGTATTATGGAACTGTTTTATTATACCGTATCACTATCTCACGGTCCATTTTATTCTAGAAAAAGACGTATTGACACTACCTTGCACAAAGCAAGGGTTTTTTTTTTTTTTTCCTCAAAACCCCCTACCACTTTCCAAATGTACAAGAAAATTATTACATGGATTAGTAACGACATTGACCCACTTGCCTTGCACATTATTGTTTAACAATAATTCCAAACTAAACTAAAGTATGATTTATTGTATTATAAAAAAAACAATAATTTTTTATTATAAAATGGAAACAACTAACCTCATTATCATTGTTTTGTTTTATTTTTTCATTTATCTAGCTAAGAGTATCACAAAAAACCCTAAATTAGGTGGGGTGTTGATTATTTATACTCATAAATTACTATGAACTCGGATGGTGTTTTTGTTTTTGTGAATTAAGTTAGTGGTATTTTTGTTATTTTAAATTTTTTCAAGCATTTAATATGTAGACAATACTGTTCGTCCCTAAAGTTACTTACATTGAGTGGTATTTTTATAATTTTGAGGTTTTTTTCAGGTATTTTATAAGCAAATTTTTGGTCATGTTGTGCTTTCGTTCTTAATTTTTTCAATAAATTTTGTTTCGATCCACAACTTTATTTGCATTGCGATCGATCTTTAACTACTAAGAAGAGAGAAATAAAGAGAAATAAAGAGATCTATGTATGGATTTTTTAGTGAAGTTTTAGAATATGATTATTTGCTCTTAAAAAATTAATATAATTTATATGATGGATTTTTTTGAATGTTTAAATGATAGCAAGTATCTATGTATAGGAAATGGTTTTTTTAGAGAGATCTAAAGATTAAAAATGTTTTTAGATAATTTGTTTCATATTTTTTAGAAAAAAATTTTTATAATAAATGTTTTTAGTTAAGAATTCATGAGGTTTTTGTTTTTATTTTTTTTTACAAACTTTTAGTTAAGAATCTGGATGTAGAGGAATAAAACATTTTTTTTTACAATAAATTTATGAAAAACATAATGAATAATTAGTTAAACACATAATTTTGAAAAAACATATTAATGATTTTTTTTTTAATTTGATATATTTTGGTAGACCCATAATATACTACGAACTATCAAATTGAAATTATTTTTTAAAATAATTTTATATGTTTTATTTTTTTATAAAACTGGAATGGTATCTTGGTAATATTTGACTCACAAGTATAGCGCGGATAAAAAATTAGTGATTTTCTAAAAGAAAGACTATTTGGAAGTCCAATGATTTTTAGGTGTTGTGTGGTTATTAAGAATGAAACAATGAGAATGAAAATAAAAATTTTATTATCATTTCGTAGTTGTTTGGTTAAAAAGAATGAAGTGACAATATGAATGAAAAGTGAGAATCAAAATAAAATAAAAAATTAAATATAGTTTTATCTCCATGGAAAATGTGAGAATGAAAATAAAACAATAAGAATGAATAATTTTTTTTTGAAATAACGATATATTATTTTTATTTATTGTATATTAACTCGCTTCTACTACTTTCATCACAACCACAACCGCCATTGGTGGTATTAATAATTTTTTTTTAAAAAAACTTATTATTATTCCATCACCATTGCTCCTCATCCATCACCATTACTTTTATTATATCACTACCATCACCATCACAATTAGCGAGTGGTGATAAAAAAAAAATTATTATTATCAATATTCCGTTACCATAATTAGTTTTATTATACTACTCGTCACAACTTTTGTTTCATCGCCATCTTGTATAATGGTGCTATCAATTTAAAACAAATATATTATTGCTATTACTATATTGTTATCACTACCCCTCATGTCCTATTCCACCACCACCATTACTACTATTACAATTTTTTTTATCATTTTTACTATCATCATAGTTAATAAAATTATTATTTTTTTAATTATTATTCTTATTTGTATTAAAAAACATATATTAAGAACTTGTTTGGAGTTGATTAATTTCTCCTAAACCAATCATTACCACCACCACCATCACTACTACTATTACAATCACCTTTATCGTTTGTACTATCATCATAGTTAATGAAATTATAATTCTTATTTGTATTAAAAATCATATATTAAGAACTTGCTTGGAGTTGATTGATTCCTCCTAAACCAATCACTATCACCACCACCATCACTATCACTATTATAATCACTTTTATCATTTTTACTATCATCATAATTAATGAAATTATTATTCTTATTTGTATTAAAAATCATATATTAAGAAATTGCTTGGAGTTGATTGATTCCTCCTAAACCAATCAAGTGAGTGGCTTCGCGATTAGTAATGTTGAGTGGCATCCAATACCCTTGGTTGAGTGGCATCGACTACCTTCCTTACAGCTTTATCCCTTTTTCTCCTTTACTCTTTCCATCCTTTGGTGGCTCCTAAACCTAGCTCGCATCGATTGGTATCGGAGATTTGGAACAAAACTATTCCCGTGTCAAATTCGAATGACTTTTTTTTTTTAAATTAAACTATACTTATTGGTTGGTATCCATAAGGCTTGCTATATGCTTCTAGAATTCTCTTTTTGTCTACTTTCAGAAAAAAAAAAAAGATGCTTGATTTTGATTTTTTCCCGTGAGTACCTATAATTGATCGAGCAAAGGTCAAGCTATTAACTACTCGCTAAATTTTCATTTTGTTCTATAAAAGCATTCAAAATGGTGCATGGAATTGACGTTTATTAAGTAAATTCAATAGTAGTCGACAACTCGACCTTAGCTCAATTAATTATATATATCTCATGGGAGAAAATTCAAAATCAAGCATCTTTTTTTTTTTTTTAGTTGTTTGATATAGGTTGTGAAGAAAAGATTTACTCAATAATTGATCGAGTGAAGGTCAAGTTGTCGCCTACTACTTTTTGAATTGAGTGAAATATTTGAATCTAAATTGGGGAAGAACCATATAAGGAATCAGCTCAAAACTTTGGAACATACAACATAATGTCTTGAAGAGTATTCCTTCTTATCTTGTATTCAAATGGGATAAAACACGAAGCTGAAATTGTTGAGGAATAATGTTGTCCGAAAAGTGAAAGAGATATACAATAGGCCATTTAAACATGAACATAAGTTTGGTACCACAATTGATATTGCCTTGTGGAAGCTCGAAACTAGAAAATGCTCGTCGCTCTCGTCACTAGTGTTCACAGATATCATGACTTAGGCTAGAATATGTGTTATACTCGGTATTCACTAAAAACCGTTATTAAATAAATTTAAGAATGTTAAAGGCATATGAAAAATGTCTTGTCAGCATAGAATAATCCCTAGAGGGTTGTTAGAATATTCAAAGCGAGTTAAGATAGTTTTTCATGCTTAGTGAATATTTGGTGGATTTTTTCGGTGCATGAATAATGATTTTTTATGTGAAATAATTATTCTAAGGATGTTAAAGGTGCATGAAAAATGGTTTTTTTTTTTTTTTTTTTTTTTTTTTTTTGTAATTGTTAGAGGGGTGTTAGATTATTCAATGCTATTTGATGAATTTTTTGAATTTTCATAATTATTTTACGTGAACTTTATTGTGCACGAATAGTATTGTTGAGCTAAATTTATTAATTTAAGTGCCTTAAGTTGTGAGAAAATTATCCAATAGACATAGAAAAATCATTTAGGATGTGTAAATTTTATGAACTTGGTTGAATTTTTCTATGTATAGGGAATAGTTTCTATAGGAAAAAGTGTATTTTTACATAACATAATTAGTTTGAAGGCCAAAATAAGTGTATAAAAATTATGTGAATAATGATTAAATTCTTTTAGGAGGTGTTTGAATTTATTATGAAAAGAAATT